CTGGAATGTGCAGTTTTTTGCGCTATTGGGGGTCTGGGGACCATTCATTCTGTCCTTAACACGGATCAGTCGTCCTGTCCCCTTGGCAGAAAAACAGCCCCTTAATCCTCTGCTGTATCATCCATGTGCTCTCTGGCAAACTTCAGACGGGCCTGGACATGCACTGGCTTCAGCAGCGGAACACGTCTGGCACTGCGGGATTTGATTCCCTGCCGTCGTAGTGTTACTGATGGTGACCTTTGTTACTTTGGTCCCAGCTCTCTGCAGTTAATATGTAAGGATGGACAGACAAGTCAAAAACAATGCATCCAGCCAAGGCTGCCCAAGGTGTGGAATACTGAAAATGGTGGCTAGAGCCTTCCATTACTTCAATGATGGAATAAGAGGAATAATGAAGCTTTTATAAAGAGCGTGAGACGGGTGAGATGCACTGTTGTTGAAGATCAGCCTAACAATGTTTCCCTGCAGAGACGTTCTAAAAATCTCTGATTTTGATATTGCACTATTAACACTCAGAGTTGAACCCGTTCTGCTCAGCTGCTCTGAAAATAAAGCCTCGATATTACATTTCATCATGAGTTCATCAACCATGTTCTGAAGCGTAGACTAATTAACATGTACAACATGTACACTTTGAATTTGTGACTCTGCCCATTTATGGGATCTTTTTTTTTTTTTTTATTAACCTAGTGGCACCATATGACTGTCAGTCTGATAAAAGTCAATGGAGCAGATAATAACTATATTAAATGCATCTGACTGTGTCACCTTGTGTTTCTGTCTTGGTCTCTGATCTTCTTCTCCATTTCCGCATCTGTCAGGGTCTCCAACAGGGGGCACCACTGGTCTGCATCACCTGTGTTGCGAATGGCAATCTCTACTGTGGGTAGTGGGTTCTCACTGGACACATTCCAAGTATGAGAGTAACAAATGAGTGCACCATAACACACCAAGATTCACAGTCATTCTCAAAGGCTTATTACAGTGACTTACCTGAAAGCATAGGTCCTCTGGTGCCAGCTGAGCTGACCACGGATGCTGTAGGCAATAGTGGTGACAAACTCCCCGCCGAGACCCAGCTCAGAGCACAGCTTCAATGCAAATGACTCTGGAGAGTTCTCCCTCTCTGACATGTCCCACTCAAACTGGTCCACCAGAGAGATGTTCCCTACATGGATGTTCAGCTGTGGGACATATGAAATTTTCATATACCAACCTATTATAGACGTATTTCTGTTCAACACTGCCAAGATTTGTTTACATTATACATGCTTCCCTTAGGCAGGCATTTTCATTGCTATGCAGATGATACACAGGTCTATCTATCCATGAAGCCAGATGAGACAACAAATAGCTTAACTGCAGGAATAGACAAAGACCTGGATGACCTCTAATTTCCTGCTTCTAAATTCAGATAAAACTGAGATAATTGTACTCAGCCTTAAAAATCTTAGAAATATGTTATCTAAATAGATGCTTGTGCACGATGGCATTATCTTGACCTTCAGTAACACTGTAAGGAATCTTGGAGTCATTTTGATCAGGATATGTCCTTCAATATGCTTTTTAGTTACTATTAATCCTTTCAGTGTAATTTTTGTCCTGTCATCACCCCCAACTGGTCTTTACAGACCCCACTGTTGTGCTTGGCCAAAGGGGGGTCATTTGATTGCTTTGGCATGCATACTGCATTATTATGGGGTCTTTGCCTTACAATATAAAGTACCTTGATGTAACTGCTATGATTTGGTGCTGTATAAATAAAATTGAATTAAATCAAATCAGGTTAAGATATACATCATTGATCATGGCTGATGAGCTTGTCTAAAATAATTTAAAATTTTCTTGCTAGACATGTCATTTCTTGACTTCCTGTTAAAATTGTTACTTTGGTGCAGCACCTACCTTGATGATGACTCTCTGGTCCGCCTGGTCTTCTAAGAGACTGTCAGTGGGGTAAGACTCAATCTGCTGACGAATAGCTGATGCGATGGCTGGGACAAAAGCCAGAGGATTCAAGTCGAGGTCGTCACACAAAATCTCAGCAAACATCTCTGGGGTCATAAGTTTTTCTAAGGAAAAAGCAGGTAATTAAACACAAAATAGCACCAGATGCTGCAGATATTTTCAAAGTAGTAGACGTGTATAAGTACCATTCATATTCCATGTGAAGGTATCCCGTAGTTTCTGCCCATCTATCTCCATGTCTAGACGAACAGGGACCAGTGCCTCTATCTGGGCTGCATTCTCATGGATTACTGCAGGGTCGTGGTCATCAAAACTAAGTGAGATGCATACAATCTGATGTTGCATTATTCTTGTTTTACTCAAAATGGTCAACACTAATCCAAATTAAAATTCTACACAGAGCTCACATACAGTGGGGCAAAAAAGTATTTAGTCAGCCACCGATTGTGCAAGTCCCCCACCTAAAATGATGACAGAGGTCAGTAATTTGCACCAGAGGTACACTTCAACTGTGAGAGACAGAATGTGGAAAAAAAAAAATCCATGAATCCACATGGTAGGATTTGTAAAGAATTTATTCGTAAATCAGGGTGGAAAATACATCAACAAAAATATAAACGCAACACCTTTGTTACTGCTCCCATTCCCCATGGGATGGACGTAGAGACCTAAAATTCATTCCAGATACACAATATAACCATCCCTCCCAAACAGTGGTCACAAATCAGTCCAAATGTGTGGTAGTGGGCACATCTGCTATATTGAGATAATCCATCCCACCTCACAGGTGTGCCACATCAGGATGCTGATCTGACATCATGAGTAGTGCACAGGTGTACCTCAGACTGCCCACAACAAAAGGCCACCCTGGAATGTGCAGTTTTTTGCGCTATTGGGGGTCTGGGGACCATTCATTCTGTCCTTAACACGGATCAGTCGTCCTGTCCCCTTGGCAGAAAAACAGCCCCAATCCTCTGCTGTATCATCCATGTGCTCTCTGGCAAACTTCAGACGGGCCTGGACATGCACTGGCTTCAGCAGCGGAACACGTCTGGCACTGCGGGATTTGATTCCCTGCCGTTGTAGTGTGTTACTGATGGTGACCTTTGTTACTTTGGTCCCAGCTCTCTGCAGGTCATTCACCAGGTCCCCCCGTGTGGTTCTGGGATCTTTGCTCACCGTTCTCATAATCATTTTGACCCCACGGGATGAGATCTTGCGTGGAGCCCCAGATCGAGGGAGATTATCAGTGGTCTTGTATGTCTTCCATTTTCTGATGATTGCTCCCACAGTTGATTTTTTCACACCAAGCTGCTTGCCTATTGTAGATTCACTCTTCCCAGTCTGGTGCAGGTCTACAATACTTTTCCTGGTGTCCTTCGAAAGCTCTTTGGTCTTGGCCATGGCGGAGTTTGGAGTCTGACTGTTTGAGGCTGTGGACAGGTGTCTTTTATACAGATGATGAGTTCAAACAGGTGCCATTCATACAGGTAACGAGTGGGGGACAGAAAAGCTTCTTACAGAAGACGTTACAGGTCTGTGAGAGCCAGAGATTTTCCTTGTTTGAGGTGACCAAATACTTATTTTCCACCCTAATTTACAATAAATTCTTTACAAATCCTACCATGTGGATTCATGGATTTTTTTTTCACATTCTGTCTCTCACAGTTGAAGTGTACCTCTGGTGCAAATTACTGACCTCTGTCATCATTTTAAGTGGGGGAACTTGCACAATCGGTGGCTGACTAAATACTTTTTTGCCCCACTGTATCACTTTCTCAAGGTCATAGATACAATTCAGACCTTTCTCCGCTGTGCCCTAAATGTAAAATAGAGGTGGGCAACCTCACGCATTGTCTATGGTCCTGCAGGAAAATACAACAATTTTGGTTCGTTATAAAATGTGAACTGGATAAGATCTTCTCTACTGACACTGAATGCAATCCATTGTGCATGCTACTCGGAGCAGCGAATGACAAAAATCAGAGGGAAGTTTGGAAAGCAGCTTTACAGGCTGCTAACGTTCTGTGCAAGGAAATGTGTCCTTTTGAACTGGATCACGGGTACGGGCCCATCTAAGACTCAATGGCAGCAAAAGGTACTGGAATATGTGTTGTAAGACTTCCTAACATGCAAGTTACATAGTAGGGACCATAGGTTTCATAAAATATGGGACCTATTTATGCTGTATGCCAGTTTGGATATTGCTGCCATTTTCTCACGGGCCCTGGTATAATATAAGCATACCAATGCTACTTTACATATGACTATTGCTAACTCTATCTCATAATCAAAGTATATGGATTTTCTATTTATTTACTTGTATTCTTGTTCTGTTGGTTTTGTTTGTTTCATAAGTTTCAGGTATGCAGTAACATGACTTTGTAACATTCACATTCTGATGAGGACACTGGGAGCAAGGATACTTGCCAAATGATACTTTGGCATCCATGCTAGAGCAGCCAAGAATTGAATCAACAACCTTCCAACTGGCAGATGACCTGCTCAACTGCCTGAGCCACAGCCACCCTAGTGTGACCAATGCTATCTACCAAGAGCTGAGCAAATTACTGAATAAAAGTGAAATTACTGAAGGGAAAACTACTAGACTATGTACAAAAAAAAAAGACTATCCAAATGAGCAAGTGAGTAAAGACAATCAATGTTGTTGATATAAAAAGTAAACAACTGATGGAGACTGTGTGGGATCTTGAAAACTGAGGTAGCTGTTCTCTAAATAAATGTGAGCAGGATTCATCAAGAGTGGCTTTACTACAAGCAAATCCAGAAAGACCTGAAACAGATATGTAACAGCTGGCCAATAGAATAAGTAGAACAACACAAAACATTTACTGTCAGATGGTGATTGATCCAAATATTAATTTTTAATATTATATTCATTTCTGTCACTTAAATTGGCAGGAATATTTTGTGTTGGCCCCAGGGTAGCTGCCAAACAGCCCTGACTGCTCAAGGCATCAGCTCCACTAGACCCTCGAATGTGTGCTCTGGTATTTGGCACCAAGATGTTAGCAAGAGATTTATTGAGTTTGTAAGCTGTGTGGGGCCTGCGTGGATCAGACTTGTTTGTCCAGCACATCCCACATATGCTGATTGCTGTCCATCTTGACATTACTCGGCAGGAAAGAGGCCACAGCCATCAGCAAATACCATTTCCGTGACAGGATCTACATGGTCTGCAACAATGCTTAGGTAGGTGGTACATGTGAAAGTAACATCCACATGGATGGCAGGACTCAAGATTTCCAAGCAGATCATTGTCCAAAGCATCATATTGCCTCCATGGGCTCACCTTCTTCCTGTAGTGCATCCTGGTGCTAGGTGTTTCCCAGGTAAGATGCACACTCATCTAGTGTAATGTAAAAAAACATGTAGTTAATCAGACCAGGCCACCTTCTTCCACTGCTCTGTGATCAAGTTCTGATGCTCACACACCCATTATTGGTGCTCTTGGTAGTTGACATGGGCATCCTGGCTGATCTGAATGCTATGCAGCCCCATATACAACAAAGTGTGGGACACTGTGTACCTTTCTATCAAAACCAGCATTAAATTTTTTCAGATATTTGATTTACTGTTGTTAATCAAACTGTCTGTTGGACTGAACCACATGGCCCAGCTTTCTCTCTCCATATGCATCAAGGAGCTTTAATGACTCTGTCACTGGTTCATCACTGGTCCTTCCTTAGACACAGACCACTGCAGACTGGGAACACCCCACAAGAGCTGCAGTTATGTAGATGCTCTCACCTAGTCTTCTAGCCATCATAATTTGGCTAGCCAAGCCACCAAACTTGTTGAAAGACACTTGCCCATTTTAAGGACAAATCGTTCACTCGCTCCCACCCACTAACAGGTGCCACGGCGAAGAGTGTTATTCACTTCACATGTCAGTGATCACATTATTATGCCTAATTTCTGTATGTACTACAAACTATGCTGAGAAGTTCAGAAACAATGTAGTAAATTCTACTAGATAAGCTATGAAATATGATCATTTTAATGGTCATTGGTGAGTTGTAGTTGCTGACAAATGAATAAAGAATGATGCGTTCATTTTTTTAAGGCCCAGGATTGTGCTGTTGAATTATATTACATGATGGTGTGTCATTGCGAACCTTAACTCTGACATGAACAAGCAGAATACATACAGTAGTAATAAGTCCACAAAACACATGAGAATGGGAACAAACAGCCTTCATACCAAAGAGGGAAGGTCCTCTTCTTGTCACGGCCCATCCGGTTCCGGTTGATGGTGGTGGAGCAAGGCACAGCATCCAGATGGTGAGAGCTGTTGGGCAGTGTGGGAACCCACTGACTACTTCTCTTTGCCTTTTGCTCCCTTTACAAGAAGAATAAACAAACATCTTCTGTCTCAACAATGATCAGCAATAAGGGATTTCATCACTTAGAATTACAGACTTATCAAAGCTCTCTTGAAGCTTTGCTAAAATGTAAAAAAACAAAACAAAAAACTCCATTCATCTATGCAACCAACAAAACTGAGTCATGAGTTGATGTCATCGTATAACTGGGGTCTGCATTCATCAGCAGATTACCTGAGGTAAGCAGGGGGCTCTGTGTTGATAGACACTGCTTTGTATTTCTCATCATTTCCATCAAAGATCTCTTCACACTCTGAAGCCTTCAGCAGAGTAACACTGGTGGCTGTAAATGAACAATCGTCCAGAGAACAAAGACACATGTTTTACAGTAGCTTTAGCTTTTTTTTTTTGTTTGTTTTTTTGGGGGCAATATTTGTTTGCGGCAAGAAGTTCAGCTCAACACCAAAATTAAAGACATTTCCTATAAATTTTACTTTAAAAAGGAAAAAGGTTTTACTATTGCACTTTAATTAAAAAATATTAAAGTACACAAGCAATATTGTATACTTTTTGTTCTTACTGTTTTTGAATTTTTTGTAAGTACACAATATTAAAAGGATTTATTTTATTTCAGTTACAGGAAATGTTTTTGGATTTTTTTAAGTTTACTTTTAATTATCTGTAACAACACTGACAGTCACATCAATCTGTAAAGGTAAAGTCTCAAGATACATGATGTAATTGATAGTCCAGTAATAAACTCAGGCATAATATTGTTTAAATACTTGAAATGTTTGCAGTTTTTGCCATCTACGGACTTAACTCGTTTTTTGAAGGTAAATGTACTTTTTTATTTTTGCACAGCTGAGTGTATTGCTTACATTTCTCCATAATAATTTTGAGTAACTGATTGAAAGTAGGACTTTAGTATTTTTTTGTTGTGGTAGTGTCCGGGGTTTTCTCAAACTGCCTTAATGTCTGCAGAAGATTTTGTGGATAGGAAATTCTATACAACCCTGGGAGGAGTCCAAATCATGTTAGTATCCACAGTAACCCCTTACCCTGCACACATACAAAAAGCCACTCACCATGTGACGATGCTACAATTTTCTTTCTCTCCTCCACAGAGGCCAGCCTCCTCCATAAAGATGGATATCTTTTATAAAGGGAGCCTCTGAACATCCGCAGATAGTTTCCAACCTTGAACAGCAAAGTGCATGTGTTTTTCCAATCCACAGTGAAACAAATGTTAAAAACAAAGAACCAAAGAAACAGATAACAGCACCTGTCATAACTGCAGTTCTATCAAAAGGACCATTTCATTTTTTGTTTATAGTGATTTAGCTGTAATTGTTCTTCCGTGTTCTTAAATGCAGATCCAACTACTGCTTTCTGCTGGCTAGATGATGCTAGCATGCTAACGAGCGCCACTGATGCCTCAATAAACAAAGAAGCATGTGAAACGAAGAGCGGGGTGTACACTCAGTCAAACAAGCTGCTACCAAAGTTCTAATTGTGCCATTCAAAACCAGTAAAAACTAACCTCAGCTTCTGTCGTTTTGCTGTAACTTCGTATTCCCTACGCATTAACTTGGGTTACTGCAGTTAGTTGAAATGGGTTATGTTAAAATAAAGTAAGACTGGAAAAAAAATATCTTTCTGCTTTGTGTAACATGCTTAAGTGACGCAGCTTTAGCCGTCTGTCATTATTATTAAGACCGTTTTGATGTCACTTATGCACTGTTCAAAAGGTAGTCACAAGATATCAATCAATCAGTGTGACGCTATGAAGACACTGTGGACCCAAATCTCTCAGGAATGTTTCCAGTTCCTTGTTAAATATGTGAAACAGAACTAAATCAGTTGGGGATAGACTTTAGCCCAAACAAACTGGATAATCTGAAGAAAATGGATGTTGTCTTAACTATTAGCACACTAAAGATGCAAATCATTCACTAAGAAAAACAAATGTTTCCAAACCACCTTGCAAATGTTAATAAACATTAGGACTGCTTTTCATTGTCATGCCAACTAATTTGAAAGCTATCAAACATTTCAATCACTGTTTGTAGAAACAAAAGGAGCTGCACCAGTTGTAAGCATGGCACAGTCCTGGCTTTGAAATACCATCCAAAACTGTCTTATCTTGATCTGTCTTATTTCCAATCTAGTCTTCCGCTTTAAAAACGAAAAACAAAACACACACGCACGCACACACACACACACACACACTTTTTTCCCAACCAGGTGTGAAAATAAACCCCGTTTCTCTTCTTGTAAGCAATAATGTGGACATAATGAGAGGATCAGACCCTTTAACCCGCACATGCATACAGTAATTTACCAAGAAGAAACTCCTAACAAGACAACACCAGGGCTAGAAGCTATAGCAGCTCATGACATTCCCTCCAAACAGCTGAGGTAGGATGTCACATTCGAAGGTGCCACAGCTCTGTATTGATGCCATGTTTTGAGCTAACTGTCAATCAAATTTTAACCATTCTTTAAAAGATCAGCAGTGAGTCACAAAACATCCTAAGATCGGTGCCTCCAAAATGCTGCTGTGGTGAAAAATTTAGCTGAACTCTGCAAAGAAGGTGATTACAAAAAATACCTTTAAGGTCTTCCAAACAGTGCTAGCCCGCACAGTGCAGTGGACAACTATACGTTTTTATTCACCTTTTTTACCAAGTGGGTTGTGTTTGTCGACTCAAGCAGTGCAAAAGTGACATCAAAACGGTCAGAATAATAATGGCAGACGGCTCAAGCTTAGTTGAAATTGGTTATTTTAAAATAAAGTAACTGCAGTAACCCAGTGGGGAATACCAAGTTACAGCAAAACGACAGAAGCTGAGGTTAGTTTTTACTGGTTTTGAACGGCACAATTAGAGCTTTGGTAGCAGCTTGTTTGACTGACTACACCCCGCTCTTCGTTTCACATGCTTCTTTGTTTATTGAGGCATCAGTGGCGCTCGTTAGCATGCTAGCATCATCTAGCCAGCAGAAAGGATAACTGCAGCAAGCATAAGAGATTTAGGCCCCGAAAGTTTGTGTACAGACCGTCACATACCTCCGACCCCACCATGTAAAAGTCTCCATCTTGTTCGAGCTGAAATTTTACCGGCTTCTGGCCAAACGTCTTACTGAGAGCTAATTGCATCTTTACGCAGTCAGTGCTAATTATTTGAGTAGCCTTTCTTCAGGTGCGTTCGCAGCCTGAGTTGAAAATGGGAAATCCGATAACGTCCCTTCAAATAGGTTTTGCTTACTCCAATTAGGAGCATGTCTGCTTACCAAGTATAAAATGACATGAAGATTATCCACAAAAAATTGAAAACTACAGCAATTTCTGTACCAGTCCCTATTTAGATGGATTAAATGAGGACATTCAAATTTGGAAGAATTTTTCCCGAAAAGTCTAAACGCTTCATGGGATGCTACTCTCTTTCTGTCCTCGCTCAAAGTGGATGAACAATTGCCAGTGCTCATTACCGCCCCTACTGTTCTACATTAAAATTAGATTTAACTCCTCCAGCTGCAGAGGTTATCTGCGATATCCCTATTATTGTGGAGTTCTTACAATTCCTTATGAATCTAATGCAGCGGTCCCCAACCTTTTTTGCGCCACGGACCGGTTTATGTCCGATAATATTTTCACGGACCGGCCTTTAAGGTGTCGCGGATAAATACAATAAAATAAAACCAGTACCGGTACCAAAAAAAGAAGATTTATTCATAACACACGGGAAAAGACCCAGGGAAACAGAGTTAATGATAAAAAAAAAATGCTAAAAACCTATAAAACCTTGAAAACCATAAATTTCACACCCAAGCCTCAACTCACGGTCCGGTACCAAACAACTCATGGACCGGTACCAGCTTGGGGGCTGGGGACTGCTGATCTAATGCAAACGGCACATAGGTCTTCTAGATATTGGATCAAAATACACACACAGAGAGTGCCAAATAACCGAGATTAGCCCAAGTATTCATAAATCCATTTTTTAAGCACATGAAGGATTCTTTCTACTCCAGTAAGTCTACCATAAAAATGGATTGTGTATTACAGATATGTTTAAAGCTATCTCAATCAAATTAAATATGACAATAGTGCAGAAGACACCAATATTCCAGAAGTGCATGCAAGGAACAAAATTTACATACTTGTCTTTCTGGAACACTTAAAAACATATCTGCCATTTGAATTTTCAAAAAGTCAAAATTTTGTTTTGCTACCAATAAGGCAAGAAAAACTAAGTGTTCTTGTAAAAAGATATTGCTTAATAATGGAGGCGTTTTCAAATGGCTAGCTTTGACATGCCATTACCAACCGATTTACACTTAATAATGGTTTGGATTTATATAGCGCTTTTCAAGGCACCCAAAGCGCTTTACAATACCACTATTCATTCACTCTCGCATTCACACACTGGTGGAGGCAGCTACAGTTGTAGCCACAGCTGCCCTGGGGCAGACTGACAGAAGCGAGGCTGCCATATCGCGCCATCGGCCCCTCTGGCCAACACCAGTAGGCGGTAGGGTAAAGTGTCTTGCCCAAGGACACAACGACCAGGACAGAGAGCCCGGGGATCGAACCGGCGACCTTCCAGTTACAGATACGCTTCCCAACCCCCTGAGCCACGGTCGCCCCACTTACAGCAGATTCAGCAAATCTGACATGACATTGAAACGTCTGCCTTGAGGCTCAAGATAGCTTGCTAACCCATTATTCTCACTTTGCGCCACACCTCATGGGCTATGAAATCAAAAACAGTGAAAATCCTGACATCTCCGTCTCTAACAATAAGACAAGTTACAAGAGTCTTTCAACTGACATGTTGCATTTTTACACTCAGAATTAGTAAGAACATCTTTGGTTTCAAGCAAAAACTAAAACATTTCAAAGAGATGAAACCAAACTATTGTTTGCAACAGACATTTATTCTTTAAAAAAGTGAAATAAAAAAAATGCACTCTTTGTAAATAAATTCATTTCAATAATATTCCACTGCTGTCATTTTCCTCTTTCATATAATTGTATGCCATAATTTATTCATTTATTTTTCCCCGGAGACAAAGACAAACATCACCTGAGGCCCTCAGGTTCACCATCCACAGTTCCATCGGAAGCTTGTATTCTATCAAATAGTCTTAGAGCGACGATCTGGCATCAAGAAGAGTTTGTGAAGATGATTAAAGCCCATATACACAGACAACACACCGTTATCTCCAAACCACTTGTGGCTGTTTGGCATTCCTCATCCACAACTAAACAAACACGTCAAAAACAAAGACCATGTCTTCAACTCTCTGAGAGAAGGTCCCTGAAGGTGACCTGATGATCAGGGATGAAATAGAGGGTGTATTTAACCACCAAGGCGCTGTCCTTCCCCCCATGCAAACCCGCCCGGGCGGTCCTCTGGCAGGGGGTTATAGTTGGCATCTTCTTCTGGAGTGTCAAAGAGCATCTTTCTGTGGGAGAAACACGGCAAAAGGAGAATGAGTCATTTCTACAAACACAGAAGTATAGCTAGTGATGCAGCTAAGAACGGATTTTTGTTACATTGTCCAACATAAAAAAAATATGTCAATCAAACTGAAGATACACAGCAGCTTTATCCAGAACAAAATATGGAAACGGACTGCTGTCTACATATGTAGGCCTCTTGTCTTTTCAGGGTTTGCCTTGATTTCAAGAGCCACATAGGAACCTCCCATGAATTTATTATGAATTTCTACCATAGCCCCTTTTGATGATGTCATTTTTTAAGAATCCACTATTTTTGATAGAAGAAAAAAAAAAAAAAGGTCTGCTCTTATCTGCGTTTTGCAACTTGCGCAATTTCAGTTAGTCTTCGAAGACACTGTTTAGTACTTTGTGAATTCCAAGTTTTATTTCTGTTAATGAAGAATATAGCTTGAGCATATGTCAACATAATGTTTAAATGACAAAAGCATTTCGTGAAACAACAATTGGATTTCAGCCAACCAAATTAATTTGTGCTTGAAGTGTGTTTTGTAGCTCGTTATTGATTTTAAGGGCATGACATGCTTTTTCCACTGTTCTCCTACTTCAGCTGGCCTTAGGGAAGAGAGAAAAATCAAAGGAAAAACAATAACTGGATCTTAGAAAAGTACTTAAATTATAACAGACACCTCTGTGTGTGTAAAGACCAGCTGCACATGGTGGTTAAAGGTGACTGCAGCCACATGTCTGTTTAGAGAAATTCCCATCTGATACTTAAAACTTAAAACTTCTCTCACACCACAAATATTACAATTATTCTGTGACTCACATGATTGATGGGGTCTTGAGCCACCTTCCACCACCTGGTTGATTTGGGAAAACATCCTCCAGGAAGAAGTACACATGACCAACAGCAATACCTCAAGAGAAAAATACAAATCAGTTTTATTCTAACCCATCAAAACCTTGCTGTACACCACTAAACACAGCAGGTACCTGCAAATCTTAGCATACCACCAAAGTACTGAACACTGACAGCAGGGGTCAATTATAAGCACCTAAAAGATCCACGATGATAGAGTTGCCCAGCAGAAGTGAGAATCCCATTAGCACCCAGGGCAAGAAGGGTGCCTGAAAGTTGAGCAGGCCAAAGAAGTTCATGCGAACATTCGGGTTCCGTCGACTCCACACGTATACCAGCATGATGGTGAAGGCCTGGCCCAGGAACACCAGACTCACAAAAGTGCCAAATATCTGAGACTTCATTGAGGACAAATGGCTGAACATTACTGCTGACTGTTTGTGTCTGCCCAACATTAACAGACTAATAATCAATCAACGGCAGCAGAGAGATCGAAAAGTTGCTTACCACATAAGGAGTGTATGCATGTATATATGTCGTATATAAAGTTGTTCTCTGAACGATCTAAGAGGATACAGTCATCAGAAGTCCACCAAAGAGAAACATGAAGACAAAGTCAGCCGTGCGTCCCCTGAAAGAGCCCTCCTCCAGCATTCGACAGTATCTGTACCTGCAAGTACATGGTTAAGGAAAGCTGCGAGAAAAATGTACACGTCATCACCATCATCCCAATTTGTGCTTTAATTTTTTTAATTTATTTTTTTATTTTTTACAAGAACTCTATTTTTACATAACTTTTTAACATATCATCTCTAAAACCACACCCGGCGTTCCCCAGTGAACCAGAAAGTAAAGCATGCATAGCGACTTTATATGTAAAGAGCTGTGGAACTGAGAAGGATACAGAAAAATCATATTGAACAGGAAATTGAAACCAACCGGACCAAAAAACAGGAAGTTGGTTATTAGTCGCCATACCTAGAAGTGAAAGAAACAACATTCAGCTGCAGATAACAGTAAAACTACTACATCCATTTGTCCAGTTTAAAATAATGTCAGTGCAGGTTTTGTTTAATTCTCAGCTCAACAAGTTCACATTCACATAGAAAGGTTGAAATCTTGATTTTTATTTAATTATGTAATTATTTTACTGTAGTTTATATTTTGCACCAGCAGTTTTACATTTTTCGTTAAATGGAACCAGATCTGTTACTTTCCGGTTCCTTATTTTTAGTATTAGTCTAGAATAGCTTTGATTGAGTCACAGTTCAAAATAATCATTATTTGTCTTATACTGCCCATTGTTGAAGTCCCTCAGTTTTACTGCTTACCCATATATTTTCAATCTTCTGACTGGCTGCTTAAACAGCGGGTTTTCATTTTGGTATGGTCTTAATCTGAGGGTCAGATAACTCACCTGATAATTTCTTAGAATTAAATCTGGGTTGAAGTAGAGCTGAAATGGTGTGATGATCTCTAGTTGCTGAAAGAGAAAGCAAAGTAAAGAATAAGTTATATGTCACAACAATGACAATGGCACAAAAAGATCCAGTGTATCTTTATTAAAACCAAGCTTAGTCTACTGTGTACACAAACAGAAATAATGCTCTGGTTTAGACAAATCTGACCTGCCATTTTCTGGAAAATCAGCTGCATAAGACAGCTGCTTACACAGTATAAGTCTAAGCTTGATTCATCAAGACAACAGAACTGCAGTCAGACAAGTCGGAGTCCTGCTCCGCTTTCTTTTCTACACTTTAATATTACCTGGAGCTAAAAGCACCAACATCACAATACTTTAATTTATAAGTATTAGTAATGAACAAGGAATCAAGACATGTAAAACTTTGGGCAAATACTGACACTTGAGCCATTATCTACCCCTGTATTTCCTCTTTCTATTTGAGATCAAAGCAGTGAATGCTGGAGAAACCCTACTGTTTTACTCTGGATTTCTTGTTGCCTTTTAGTTATTTATTTTTTCCTTTGTACCAGAGATATATCTTCACAAACGGTTAAATCCACTTAAGGTCCTTCAGCTCTTCATCGTCACACTATTTTTAAACATTAAAAACAAAGCAAATCTAGAAAACACAGATCAAGATCAGCCCGTGACACTGGTAAATTCATCTTATTTGCTGATAGCTGATATTGCCGACTCTGAAAATACCAATATCCAATAATCAATAAGAAGTGCATTTACTTTCAGAACTGTGACAGTACTGTAAAAAGTACACTCAGAATGCCTTATCAGCCAACTCACATG